ACCTGATTTTTGAATAATAAAACTTGGTTCCTGAATTTTGAATTTCAATCCTCAAACACCTGGAAATATGTAATTTCCTCTATTCTTTACTGGATTGCATCTCTTTATGGTTAAGCTAAGGCCCGCATAAGAATGGGCATGCTATTCCTAATTGATGAAACGGGCCTGGTTATTGTTGTTGAGCCTATTTACTGTTATTATTAGTAGTCCTTGGGTTTGTAGTTTGTCGTTTCCAAGTTATTAAAGCATCTACAATCCATTCCATGGATGGTGAAAAAATAAACGATTTTTTTCACCAATCAAATCATGTCAGCTTGGATGCTGTCAAAAGTGACTTACACTTTTGATATGCAAATGGCTTAACTCAAGTTAATATATTTAACAGATTCTCTATATCTAGACAGAATCAACCTTTTGATTGCATTTTTTTTTTACTGGATGTTAATTTGTTTATGTCGCGTTCTGTCTACAGACAAGTTCACACTTAATCATGTTGCTTCTAATCTTACCTTAGGCTCCTACAACACTTTGTCCTCTACTACTTTTAGTTGATCGTTGCCCCATCCGCAACTTGTAGATAAGCCTACTAATGTGAGTTTAAAATTTAAAATTTTAGGCCTCATTTGTCCCCCGTTATTCAAATACATTGTTTACTAAAGTAAGATTTTCCACCACACATGATGAGAACCATATAGCCACGAATACTACGCAACCCACAACGAGATTGAAGATCCCAAGAAAGCCCAAAGAATAATCTCGATTTTGAGTTTGAACCAAGAATTACTGAACCAAGCAACCAAACAAAAAGGAAGTTTAAATAATCTCTTGATTACACAACACGTGATCCGCACTTAGTGTTGAACACCACAAAAATCCTATCGATAAGTTCAGAATGTTCTAAGAGAGAACAATGTTGAAAAACACAATAGCCTCTCGAATATATCTCAATATTAAATTTGTCAAAAGGTTCATACATCGGATAATGAAGCCCTATTTATACTAATGGCCAGAAAATCTAGTAAAAACATAATTAAGTTACAAAATATTGTAAAATTGGAAAGAAAATCGAATTCTAGTCTAATAAGGAAATTCACGAAAAACTTAAAGTTCTCGCCAATTGTTCTATGCATGTTTCTCTACAATCGCAAGCCCAAAAGTACCATGAGTCCACGTAGACTTGTGCATAATTTCATGTCATTTCTAGAATATACTAATGGACGAAAATTCGACAATCGAGTTGAAAGTTATGCCCGTTTTTATCCATGCTGCTCATTTTCTTTCCAAATATTTTCCAAACCTTAAATCCAACTCGTTTCGGCTCTCGAGCCCTTCATGAAACTTGAACTTTGGCTTGTCAACTTCTTCAATTTGAACTCCAAAACTCGACCAAGTGATTGTCTATCCCATATCATATCATCCCCTCTCTATTCGAAAAGATTCGTCCTTGAATTTGTGTCTTGTAATCGCGTAGGAGATAACCAGCTTGCTACACAACTCATCACTGCAGCACCTGGATCAAATAGAAATGTTTTTCTTCCATGGCATATGATCAATACACAGTCCCCATCTATTTTGTAGGTATGGATGTTTTGCAGCACAAACATAATCACCCATAGATGTTGTTGTATGAACTTTCACGTACAATGGAATACCTGAAGAAAGAATTAAGCAAAACAAGGTTGAATTTATTAGTTTTCCCCTTAATAAGATATGGGTCCTCGTACTCATAATGCACCGTCTCTACCATATCATGCTTAACAATGGAACTCTGCTCTTCATTCCCCACAACGTTTTCAACCATTTGCTCAACACATTTAGTCATTATTTTCTCACTTTCTTGTTAAACCATCTTTACAATTTTTGTATCAGTCTGCTTGTGCTCTGTCTCATTAATTATTTCACTCTCCCCAATATCAACTGCATTTTTCAATTCCTCCATCTCAACTTCCTTAATTCTGGACTCCTCCTGCAATTCAACTATGGTGTTCTCCTTAAGTATGGTCATCTCCCTATCTTGCTTTTCCCGTTCTACCTCACCTCTCACCTTCCATCGGTCTGCAAAGGATTGTTCTAGTGTCAACCTAGTTAAAGTGATTTTTACCCCGCCCTGAAGAAACCTATACTTGTTCCTCTCCATATCATAAATAGCCTTCCTCTCATACCTCTAAAGTCTCCCAAACAAGATATGAAAAGATTTTAATGGAACTACATCACACCAAACTTCTCACTACATCTCCCAATAGTGACATTCAATAAAACCCGCTTGATCACATCTACCTTCCCACACTCCTTCAATAAAGTCATCCAATAAGGCCTAGGGTGTTGTTGTAAAGGTAATCCCAATTTTTCCACCATTGTGATACTAGCCAAGTCTGATATGTACTCGTTATCACCCACGAAACACCAAGTTTGAAAAATAAATCCACAATCATCAAACATCCTTTACGTAGGCGTAATCAAGAAGACTCAAGAAATGAATTGGATAATTGAATGTGTGATACTTAAATCCGAGAAAGTGGTTCTTGAATTATTGAAATGGAATGAATATAAACAGATTTTGGATATATAATATGATAGTGTCAATTTCCCAAATAAATCAAGTAAATTTTTTTTGAATAGTGATGACGTGAACAGTACCAGCAAACATTTTTTTTTTTTTTTTTTAATTTTGTAAACTCGAAAATTGACTATGATATCAACGAAACAAACGGAAGTTGATTTGGATGCTAGATTAGCTCCAAAAACAAATTTGACTCTTTTTTTTTTGGAATTTTTTAAATTAAAGACTTAAAATTTACAACGAGCATGAAGAACAAAAACAAAAGACTCAAAAGAACAAAAAAAATAGAACTTAAATCTAGAGCCCAATCTCTGATACCAAATGATGAGAACCACATAACAACGAACACTACACAATCCACAACGAGATTGAAGATCCCAAGAAAGCCCAAAGAATAATCTCGGTTTTGAGTTTGAACCAAGAATTAATAAATCAAGCAACCAAACAAAAACAAAGTTTGAATGATCTCTTGATTACACTACACGTGATCCGTACTCAGTATTGAACTCCACAAGAATCCTCTTGATAAGTTCAGAATGTTCTAAGAAGAACAATGTTGAAAAGCACAATAGCTTCTCAAATATATCTCAATATTAAATTTGTCAAAAGGTTCATACATTGAATAATGAAGTCCTATTTATTCTAATGGCCACACAATCTAGTAAAAATGTAATTATGTTATAAAATATTGTAAAATTGGAAAGAAAATAGACTTCAGTCTAATAAGGAAATTCGCGAAAAAATTAAAGTTCTCGCCAAATTGTTCTCGTCATGTTTATGTGTAATCTCAAGCCCAAAAGTACCACGAGCCCGCGTGAACTTGTGTAGAATTTCGTGCCATTTTTGGAATGTATTAATGGGCGAAAATCCGACAACCGAACTGAAAGTTATGCTCGTTTTCATCCACGCTACTCATTTTCTTTTCAAATATCTTCAAAACCTTGAATCCAACTCGTTTCGGCTCTCGAGCCCTTCACGAAACTTAAACATTGGTTTGTCAACTTTGAAACTTCGTCCACCATAATTTGAGCAATCAATCACATTGCCTCTTTCACCCCCTTTGCCCTCAAACGTGTCATCGACCCTCCTTCGATAATCAACGGATCTCGTCTTGGGCTTGTCCTCATCAGGCTCGACTCCTAATTCATATCATCCTCTCCCTCTTCAAAAGGATTCGTATTCGAATATGCACCTGCATCGAAAAGAGAGAGATTATACACATTAAAAGTTGCTGAAACATTATACTATTGTGTTTAAACATGAAACAAGTCTGATGGAAAAAAAGAGACGAGATTCAAGGATTTGAAATAAGCCACGGCTGAAGTGGGAAATGCTGTATATTTAATTTTCATATTGGTTATCTGAAAAATAATAACCAACGAGTAAACACTATTAAAATTAAATTTTTTTGGACATTACACTTCTTGAGAAAGTGAATAAAAGAGACATTTTGTTCCTATAGAACATCTTAATTTCACAGAGTTTTGCGAACTGAAATTTTACTAATATTTTCCAGCTTGGAGACGAATATTTTTACAAAAGAGAAATTTTGAGTTTTTGATTGCACAAAATAAAATGTTAAAGAGAGATGATAATATTGACAAAAAGTAAATCTGACGTGGGAAAATCCCATTGGATACTTTTCATTTGAGAAGCCACTGCAAATCCCACCATGGGATTGGATTGGATTGGATATGATATAATCATGAGAGAGAGAGAGAGAGAGAGAGAGAATAATTATAATAAAATTTTTTACTGAGTTTATTTACGTAAATATTATGTCATAATAAAATTTTATTCTTTTAATTAAATTATCAACATTTCTCACCATATCAATTTTTTTCGTTAAAATAATTAATTGTTAATTTTAATATAAAAAGCATTTGAATAGTAATTTTAGAAGCTACAATTAACATCTGGACACATATATTAATTTTCGATTCTAAGAAATAAATTCTAATCGGAGCAAATTGACACTGCTAAGTTGGTCTGTTTTGATTCAATCCAAACAGCGAACAACGATTCAATTGTCTCTTGTTTGGAAAAAAATTATAAGTTATTAAAATTAAAAATTGATGAAAATGAGTAATAATTGTGGGTTATACAAAATATGCAGTAAAAATGCTTAACAAATTCCTAATAAAACTAAGAGCTCATACAAGAATTTGAAATTATGGAAAATGATTGAAAGATTGGAGGAATGAAAAATCACGCACACGACGTTCATTCATTTCAAAATTCTGTAAAACTAAGCTTGTAACCAGGTNTTTCAAAATTCTGTAAAACTAAGCTTGTAACCAGGTAAAAAGTAAAAATTCAAAATATAAAGGAAATAAGTTAAAATCGGGGGTTAAAAACTGTCAAATGGAGTGATAAAAACAAATCAAGAAATCCACTTCAATCAGCACAAAAGACCCACACAGTGGTGTGACCCATGGCCATGGCTATGGCTGAGGGCAGTAGCAGTAGCACCAGCACCACTGCTATCAACAGAGACGAATCATCATCTTCGCCAATAACCAAAATAGCCCAAGATCACATTTTCTCGATTTTGCTCCTCCTACCCATTGAATCGATTGTTTGTTTTGCCATGACTTGCAGGAAATTGAAGTTTTTGGCATATTCTGATTCTCTATGGGAATCTGTGTGCAGGAGAGATTGGGGTAATTCCGCAATTGATGCACTGAAAGCATCAAGTTCTGTGCAGGGAATTCATTGGAAGAAGTTGTACCAGCAGGTTTACCAGTTGGACTCTGTTTGTTGCCATAAACTATTGGTTGAAACCCCAGATGGTGATGAGATTTTTCCGGGCCCTAGAGCTTCTCATTCCCTCAATTTTGTGAATGGATGCCTTGTTCTGTTTGGTGGGGGATGTGAAGGAGGTCAGTCAGAATTTTTTTTTTCTTTTTCTTTTTATGCTTGTTGAATTATGCCCTCGATTCTTTTTTCTTTGTAAATATTTGATCCTTGGCATCCTTATCTTTGTTCTGATTATGTTCATCTTTTATGACAGACCCTCGTATTAATTGTTTTAAACATCAAATATGTTGTATTTCTAGCAGTTGGAAGTGTTTTATTACCTATATTGAAGTCATTTGCTCAATTTGATTTGAGTGAAAAGGGATTGAGGTTTCGTAGATGAAATTTCTGGTTGCTTCTGGGGACAAATGAAGGAAAAATGGTCAGAATACGGTCCAGCCGCTAGTTCTTAGGCAAACACTACTGGAATTTTCCAAACAATCACTAGTTCATGTCCCAAAAGATTGGATGGCAAGAAGAACTTTATAGGAGTTATGTATTTTAGAGATGTAAAGATGCCCTAAACATTCTTGGAATTGTCCAAACAATCTCTAGTTCATGTCCAAAAGATTGGATAGAAAGAAGAACTTTATAGGATTTATGTAGGGAAAATTGCAGCAGCAATACCGAACATTTCATTAAGTAGAAGAATTTGTCCAAATCTTTCATTTGTGCCACCTACGATACCAAACCTTTCAAAATGTGCCACATGCGGTACCAAACCTTTCAAAATGTCGCAGTTAAAGTCCAAATGAATGGTTTCTATTAATTTGACCGTTAGTTGACCAAATAATTGACCTTGACAATAATTTTGACTAATTTTAAAAGGTTAAAATGATAATTTTACATTTTTTTATAATAAAATAACCAAAATCAAATAATTAAAATTAAAAATCCTTTCCACCTTCTTCTTCTCCATTCACCCCACCCCAACCCCAAATTGGGGAAATCAAAACCCAGAATTTCTCTACAGAAAAACTGAATCTTTCTTATTAAAAAACTCAAACCCAGAGAGATGCACTATTATTGCTACTTGATGTACAATCTGATGTGTTATGTTCAATCCTCAAAGATGAATTAGATGTATCAAGGTCATATGCATCCCCTGCAAGATGGTGTCCTGATGTGGCAAGCCCATCAGCTGAGGAGCATGTTTTTGATTCTATCTTTGAAGTGTCTCTCATCTAGCATCTCTCTAACTCATTTCTGAACTCCAAAGTGCATCTATCTTCAGCCCCTATACTATCATTCTCAAACTCATTGACAGATGATCTTAGAAGCATGCCATCTTCTGAGTATAATTCGGCTGAGGATTCTAAAGATGCAGTTAGAGACTCTTCATCAAAACCCAGAATTTCTCTACGGAAAAACTGGATCTATCTTATTAAAAAACCTAGAATTACTCTTATCCATCAATTATTTTTCGCCTCTTTAATTGATACAAGAAAAGTGTTTAAAATCTGTAAACTACACTGAAAAACTGGAACATTCTACGGACAAGTACTTGGTTTGAAATTGTTAGTGCATTCATGATTCAACAGTTCGTATTTGGTGCAATTAGGCTTCTTTGGTTTCATATTTGAACTTCTCAACAAATGGAGGTAGATAAGAAGAATAAGCAGGCCAAGAAATTCTGGGTTTTGATTTCTTAGATTTGGGGCTTGTAGATGGAAATGGATTTTTAATTTTAATTATTTGATTTTGGTTATTTTATTATAAAAAGATGTAAAGTTACCATTTTAATCTTTTAAAATTAGTCAAAATTATTGTTAAGGTTAATTATTTGGTCAACTAATGGTCAAACTAACATAAACCATCCATTTGGACTTCAGTTGCAACATTTTGAAAGGTTTGGTACCGTGGGTGGCACAAATGAAAGGTTTAGGCAAAGTCTGTTACTTAATGAAATGTTTGGTACCGTGACTGCAATTATCCCATTTATGTATATTAGAGATGTAAAGATGCCCTCAAGTCATTTGTTAGTAAATTTTAAGATTCTTAGTACACCCTAAACATTGTGCTGTTGTCATCTACATCAATCATGTCTAAGCTGGAGTTTTAGATTATAACACGAAGAGCTTCTAGTCGCCTCAGAAGTTCAAATTTCAGTCTTTGCTTTTCAGAGTTGATCCAACCAGCACCCCCATCGCCCCTACCAAAAAAGAAAAGAAAAAAAGAAGATACTGAAAATGCCTGAAAATTTGAACAAACTATAACTTCATTGTAAGATAAGAAACATGAGAGATGATGTGTAAATTGTCTCTTGAGAGGGAAAGAATATCCATTGTCCAGGGAGCATAAATGATAGTATCTTGTTAACTCTTGTACTGATTACCGACTGTTAATTACTAAAAGATTGTTATAACTAAGAAAGTAGTAATTCAATTGTAGTTTTGAAAAGTATGCTAGAAGAAAATTCTTCTCCTTCGATGTGCAGTATTGGGATTTCTTTCGTTACTTCAATAAAGCTTTTTCCTTATTTATGAAGGAAAATTGGTCCTTTGATCTTGTCGATCAATGCTAATAAAATAGAGGTTCCCGGCAAGCTTCCTCAAACTATCCTGATTGGGTTGATCATCATTTCCATTTATTTTAAAGGAAAATTGGTCTTTTGATATTCTCGATCCACGCTAAAAAATGAGGTTCCACGCAAGCTTCCTCGTATTGTCCTGATTGACTTGATCATCATTTCCAACTTTTTTATTTTGTGTTGGGAATTTCTAGGTGTGATGACAAATCAATAGATTAATAATCCATACTTGCATCAATTTTGCACATTATGTTTCCATTAAGCCCCTGTTTGAAAACTATTATTTGAAAACTTTTTTTTCTACATACTCATTTTCAACCACACATTGACACAATTAAATAGTTTGCACGTAAACTCAAAACTTTTTTTTTTTTTGACCTTTTAACCCCATGTTCTCCTAAAAATCACTATTCAAAACATTGATTTTTTCCAAATAATGATTGTCAAACAGGGGCTAAGTTAAGCTAGTACTTTAATGTGTATAACTTCTAGCCCATTGAAATGAGTAGTGGCTGTGGCAAGCACGTTTCCTTACCTCATGCCAATGCCTTAGTGGGGGTGTGCCCATAATGGCTGCTTCGCAATCAAACAGAAGGGAGGCAGTGGAGTTGTGTTGTGTTTTGTAGTGTTGTGTGTGACATATTCTGATGATAGTGCATGGGATGGGTGGATTGCCCAATGTGCAGTCAATGAACTACAAGCATGACATGCAGGCAGCATTCTTGAACACGGCAGAGTGACTCAAGTCTCAGTGTGCATAGAGGCAGGTTGGGCAGCACACGACATAGCTGGAGGCCCAGTGTGAGTATTATGGATATGGTATCCATTTAGATAAAATTTCTACCCAAGCCAATGCACATGGTTGATTTCAGCTTAAGGCAACTATGTTGGAGGCTGCTGATGTGGACTCTTAGTTAGTTTGCAAAGTCAAGTAACTGTTGCACCTGATGACTCTAAACTGGCTATGTTGGGGCGGTTGTGGGAATTGACTAGTAAGTAGTTTCTGAGTAACATATGGAACTTTTGCAGGGACATGGCTAGTGGCTAGGTCGCTAATGCTAGAATTGGTTAGTACGCGGTACACCAGCTGGGGGTGCCAACTTACACCCATTTTCTATACATAGGGGTAGACTGCTGTGGCAGTAAACAAGAGAAGTGGTGTTGTATTCCCTAAGTTTTTCCCTGAGATTCGTTTGTTTGAGAGATACAGTTGGGAGATTCCCATAATTGC